GTTTTATTTTCAATAGTGAAAACAACTTTTTTTTGAAATAGAGAAAAAAAACTGAATTATGCGAATTCTTTCGTTTCCTATTATAGGTTTGTCAATCCTGACCCAAATAAATATTCCGGGGTGGGGTGTTGACCAATCCAGAAAACTATAGACTTTTAAACTCTTTGAGCATGACCAATCTTGAATATATCCCGACCGATAGGTTTCGCATCTTAAATAAAAACAAGAGCCAAAATGGCTTCACGCTCGGAGCCTAGCTTTTTACAAAAAAATTATCAGTGACTGCATGTGAATCAGAGACGGTCCGAATAGAACTAATAATTTCTTTATACATTATACACTACGTTAATCAAGATTTCTAGATGAGAGAGCAGCCACTTGAATTACGTTAATCGAGAAAAAATTCATAACAAATTTCATCTGGAACCGCCCCTGTATTGATCGGAGAGCTGTAAATCGACAAGAAGTCGGAAAGTCGTCGGGATTCTAATTGTTCACGGGAGATATTTTGTGATCTTATGTAAAATGTTCTTATATATCAAAGTCTTTAGTCTATTTTCTGATAGTTTTCTTCTCATTATGTAATTCAATAGACCAGCTTAGGATTTTGTTGCGTACGGTAAAAATAGCAGACCTCTAGTACTGGTGAACAGACACCATTTTGTAAATAAGCTGATGAACTAGGATGTTAAAATATAGTTACTATGATTAGCTATGAGCTGTAATTAAACTATGGCTTAAATTGACAGGGCTATACTACTTGCAATAATGAAAAAAAGAAATGTATGAAAATTAATATACGCTGCAGATGGCTACTGATGTACAACAGTGGATTAATTTTGCATATTAGAAACTACTGTATGTCTAACAATTAGACCACGAGTCTGAGTTCACTATGGTTTGATAGTACTCGACCAAAGTCCACAATTGTCCTGAAATTTTTTTCATGAAATTGAATAAACAATGACATTAGTCACAAACTGAACAACACAAAAAATAGTACTTTACTTCTTAAATTTATTTTTGTCGTATTCTAAGTTTCTAACTTACATAAACTTACATAATAGTCAAACAGTAATTCACTATGAAGCGATATAGGGAACATTTAATGACTAGAAAGAAATTATTTACAATCTTATTTACTAATGTTGTCATATATAAACAGTAAATTATCGCATTTTAACTAAATATACTCTCTTCTACTCAAATACTGATGTTCTTTGATATCTTGTAATTTAACCATGTAAATTCGGAAGAAAAACAAAACTACACCAATCTTTGGAAAAATTCATGTCGATTTCTCTACCTTGAACACTACTAACAAATACACCACCTCCTATAAACCCAAAATATAATGTCTAGTCACTTTTCATACAACAAACATCCAAAATAATGTGCAAACTTAATGGCCGACGAACAGCAGTTAAGAAAATAAAAGAGACTGTTTCAAAATATTCTATGGTGCAAGGCATTTTGATTGAGAATACACTTGTAATAATATTGCTAACCAATCAACTATATCAATCCTAAATGCACGAAATCGTTCTTACAGTATTGTCATAATTATTTCTATTGATCATAATTTCTTATACATTATATTACTATTTTATAACTCATCATTCGTATGTGTCCATAAATTAGTCTATAATCTATTGCCAGGATTATTTCAGTCTTTAACCCTTATACTGTCTTATTGTTTCTATACAATTCAGTAAGCAGCTGGTTGTGGACATACAGGGTCTGTCAGTTCAATAACATACTAACATGGGTTTAATCCATGGACCTTGCATGTCATAGTTCACGACTGAGTGTTCATTCAAAATCATTAGTGAAGAATATATCGTACTTTTTAAGTTCATAGTAGATTTGATTCAAAGCGGTTTTTCACAAACCCAATAAAATCCAATTGAATGTACATTAATTTATTATATGGCTTAGATAGTACGCGCGCTCTGATTGGCTGTTGACAGATAATGACCGGTCGGAATTTTCCTGTAATGCCCGCTCACAGCGGTCATTATTTTTTTTCGCGATTAGACCAGCTTTGACTTTGAGTAAGACGAAGAAAAAACACACAATTTGAAACGCATTGCAAAACAGAGATATCCTTTTAGTTCGTTTACGAAAAAAATAAATGTTTGAAAATTTTTTATTTGCAAAATGAGAGACAACGAAAACTACAGTCAAAGTGAATTTATTTTTACATGTAAGTTCTTGACGAGATTAGTGCGAAAGCCGACAAAATGGCTACCAAACAGACGAAAACCATTATATTTTTAGTACCAAACCGACGAAAATGACCAAAATCATTATATCTTTAGTAATTGTCTGCAAAAATGCGGGAATAATGGCTCCTTATTTCATAGATTCAGTTAATTTTCATGCACAAATAAGTCTTACATTATTACAGTCTACTCACAAACTTTTCAATGATTCTTCTATCGACAAGGC